CAACCATTCCCGTACCTCTGGAAATCTCATCGAAGTGTTCCAAGTCTCCGTCCAGAATGCGGTAGCCAGATATTTGCAGACACTGAAACATCCGTTGATCCATACGCCGAATTCCATACACTCTCTAGGAGATGGGAAGCTACTAGTTACCAATGACCACTACATCGGCGCATTGGTCTCACCGTTCATATCACAGGTCGAAACATTTTCTGGCATTCCTGGAGGTAGTGTCGTCTATACTGATATCCACAACCTGCAGCACACCAAGACGTTGACGCACGTCCCCTTCGCCAACGGCATTGCCATGCTCAACTCGACGACTGTTGCCGTTGCCTCGTCTTCCAAAATGGGCGTAAACATCTACAGCTTCTACCCTGACACGATCAGTCTGTATTTCAGAAAATATATTCGTGCGCCTTCGACGGTCGACAACCTTTTTGTCGATTCTTCTGGCAAGCTTCTTTTGGCAGGCCACCCTTTTGCCCCAGCACTCACAGCTGTGAGCAAAGCGAGAGCAAATTGCAACATGCAAGGACTAGATGAGGAGAAAGGACCTTGCGAGTGTACGGCGCCTAGTTGGGTGGGAGAGTGGAGCGAAGAGGAAGGACTGAAGACCTTGTATAAGAATGACGGAGACGAATTCTGCAGCAGTACTACGCTCGCTCGCGACGTGGGCAGAGGCGTGAGTATCGTCACGGCGTTATATGATAGAGGTATATTGGTGGCGAAGGGATGAGGACGACGCGCAAAATTCAACCAATGTGGACGGAGCGAGGCACCGATGTGTCCACACATGCCGTGATGAACATGGATTCTTTGTGAAGGTTTGCAAGACCAAATGAATATCTTATTGCAACAAACGCGATGTTAATCGGAGTTACAAAGTGGTCTACAGCTTAAGCAGGTGGCCCTATCGCGCGTTGTATCTTGGGGGTAGAAGGACCCAGTATGGGTGGCTTTTGCGAGTTTTCATTGTCGCCAACTCCCTACTCAGGTACTCCTCAATATGTAGGAGGAGTACTCAAAATCACTGTGGCCAGGACCGTACTTTCAAGTCGTCGTCACAAGGATATCGCAAACGAAATTCCGACAAAGAATAGGGAGACGAGCAGCCGTTGAGTAGTTACTTTCTCAGTGCGGTTTCATCTTCAATGCTGTCTGTTCATGTCACCACCCGAGAGTGATGACGCCGTGCGAGTATGGACCAGTGCATGCATGTTGGTGTCACTCTAGGAATAGTGTCATAGCTCCATAGTCACATTTCAGCGCATCATGTATAAGATGAGGAGGGACGCTTCGAGCTACTATGTCTAATGATTGGCCTATATGATGTAGCTACGATAGGTTTGCCTGCAGTTCGCTTCCCTCAGGCCCGGCACAATCTTCCGTTTTGAGTCTGAACACCCTGTTCTCCGTCTTGAACCACCCACCTCTCACTTCCAACGGCAGTGGTCGCGTAGAAGACATCGGTCGGGTCCCACTTCTTCTTGATCTCGCTCAATCTTGGGTAATACCCACCGTAGAATGACTCTTGCCAGTCCGGTTCTCCAACGGTGGCTTCATTCAAATAAACACCACCACCTTCTGAAACGGGCGTAATATCGCGCCAAGGCTGTAGGATGTTCTCTTGGAGGTCCTTGTTTGCAAGACCGAGAGCTTCTGGTGTAGAGTGATCCATTTTCTTGTTCGAAGAGGTGATCAAGAACAAGGCACATTCGCGCCACGCTGGGTTGGCAGCATTGTTGGTGTTTGCGTACTCCTTGGGCGCCTTGTGGTAGCCAAGAAGATGTTTTCCAGAAGAGACATGTTCCTTGATTAGCGCAAAGGTCTGGTCGTACTTCTCTTGGAAGTTGCGTCGAGGAACGATGCGATTCGCTGACATTGAGTTGTCCAAGCCGATGGGGAATGAGTTACCACCCCAAGTCGCTTGATAGGCAGAGTAGAAGGTGGTATGAGCCACTCGCTTATGGGGGGTCGTAAGCGTGATATTGTTCTCTTCGAGGTAGTCGAAGAAAGGTTTGACGGTCTTGTCGTACGACTCCGCCGTATGGTTCGCAGCAAAAAGGAAGCGCATGTTGAGGAACGGCTTGGGCTCATTTCCCATGATGAAGAAGCTGTACATGCCTGACTCTGCCCAGTCAAGGAAGACATCAAAGAACTTCTTGGTGCCCTTCCAGAAGTCCTCAAGGCTGTTGTTCGCAGCATCGATTTGCCAGCCAGCAGTGACGACGTTGATCTTAGGATGTGCACGGATGATGACCGACACCACGACACCAAAGGTACCACCACCGCCGCCTCGGAGTGCCCAGAATAAGTCAGGATTGGAGTCTTCCGATACTGTGATGAAACGACCGGCGGCCGTTACGATCTGGAAGGCGACAACGTGATCGGCCGACATACCGTAAACACCAGCAAGAGGATTTTGCCCTCCGCCCGTGATCATACCACCAGCATATCCAACGCTCTAGTGAATGTGAGTTATTTTTATAAGAATGATAGACCAAGGAATGCTTACCCAGGAGATGGCACCAAGGACAGTGACACCATGCTTGTCCGCAGCTTCGTATACCTGCCTGACTCTAACCCCAGCGGCGAGCTTCAACGCCGGTCCTGAATAGCCTGGGCCTTCGTAGTTCGGGAGAAAGTCAATTTGTTCCATGTTATGCATCCACAAGCTCAATGCTCCAGCTCCAGTGGACTTTCCCAGGTAGCAATGACCAGTGTTCTTGATGACCAGGCGAAGATTAGTCGCCCTTGCGAAGTTGATGGCAAGCTGGATCTGCGCCACGTTGGTGACTTTGACCGCGTACTCGGGATATCCGCCAAGAGTACATGACTTGCCGTCAGTGTCGTTTTTGGGCATACAGGTCCTACCCTGAAAGATAGGCCACATGTCTAGAATCACGACGTCAGCAAATAGTCTGCATACGCTTACGGAAGTAATCGCATACTTGACGTCGGATCAGCCTCATGGAATAGCGGATTCGTAAAATTATTGGCGATATCCGTGCACTTTGCACTGTCTTTCTTGCCCCATTGTGTATCGTAGCACGGAGCAGCGATGGGCTTGGTCGGAATGAGTGCGCCGCCTAAAAGCACATTGAAAATGTCCCAGACGGTTTCCTGGGGCCACTCAGAGTCACCAGGAAACGTCTTGCAAGATGCAGAGGCTGCACGTCGTACACGCACATCACTAGCAGCGGTGCTGTCATCGAATGCGAAGTACTCGACATACTTCGAAACCCCCTCATCGGTCGTTAGACGCTCGATGACTGCGTCAGTCAATTGCAGTCTTTCGGATTCTTGAAGTGGTGCCCCTGCTGGTGAAGCGGCTGGAACGAAGGTAGCTGCAGGTTCGACATCAGGAAGAGGAGAAGATTGGCCAAGGATAGCCGCCGGGGAAATGAGCATGAGAAAGCACGTGGTTACCCGCTGCATAGACGCCATGGTGAAAGCCAAGAGGTGAATACGAGGTGGATGTAGGGAAGAAGCAGCAAAAGGATGCCTTCCCATTTTATCTTTTATCTTTAACCGTTCGGTAAATGTTCTTTCAGTTTCTCCCACGCGACTGAGCTCCATGATTCATGTGTGAGCGCTCTGGATGTTGCCACACACTGTGGAGTCAACCAGTGAGTGTCAAACGGGGACATAACAGCGAAGGGACGCAGGTAGATTACGCAGGGACTGCATATAGAAGCCGGGATAAATGGATGGGCCTGTGGGTAGAACGTGGTCTTGATCTGGACTGGGGTAGATTTGGCTCTGTCCATGCTCCAAATCGCAAAGGCTTGGAGCAGCCTCACGGCAGTTGCAAGCCAATAGAAACTTCCCAGCCCTTACACCGGCAGCAAGGAGCAGCAGGCAGCACAACATCTGCAAGCCGCTATAGAATGCCGATTGTACTACTTGAGCGAGCTGTGCATGCAGATCCAGTGGCATATTCGTCCGTTTAGAAACGGCATAGGTGGCTTGGCATAGGAAGGATAGATGCGTCTCTGGCGTGTTCACATGTGTGATTGCGGCGCGGTGCTTATTGCAAGAATTCTTGTCGCCACGCAGAATCCAGACCAAAGATTTGATTCCTACGAAAATGTAACTCTCGACATTACTATCGTAGCTAAGTAGCATCTAGTGGAACGTGGACTAAAAGGTTATGTGTAGAGTAAAACAAGCGTGAGATGGGTTGCACATAGAGTCGCAGGTGGCCGCCATTGAGAGGGGCGGCGGATGCATGGATGCCGCGGGCGCCAGAGCCTAGCGGCACGGTCGGCACGTTCAACAATCCCTTGCCATGTCGCATCTTCCCTTAACGGCCGCCCTTACTTCTCAACCGACGCGCCAAGCGCTTGGCAAAAGACCCTCGACCGCACACCTGCTTGTCCACGGACTCGTCACATCCTAAAATCCTACGATACTAGCCTATTGGTGGAAACAACGTCGTATATGACTGCCAAGGTTACCTAGGTACCATGCAGGTGGTTCAATGAAGCACTCCACTTACCGAGAGTCGCCACACATGTCCAGCACCACCGATGTACTCGTATATACAGTACTCCTATTCAGCCATTCAAGAAGGAAGAGGGGTACCAGATGACAAGAAGTGGATTGCTTAAGATCTGCATCTGCAGTGCTTAAGGTCAAATGCGGAATTTGACCTGCTGTTTGCGTAATTTTTGCGCATGAACATGATCCTTCCAAGTACTCCTACAAGGGTCGAAGGGACGGACCTTTGGGCCGTCTACGGCTCGGGGAATTCGGAAGACTACCTGAATTGCTCGAGTCAGGGGCGCCACACGGGATCAATGTAATTACTGGATACACATGCAGTACTCAAAGGAATGCGGCGTGGTGAACTCCATCACAGGTGTCAAGCCCACCAGCGTGGTTTGCGCCGAAGTTTAATTCATGTGAAAAGTAATGCAATTCGTATATCTAGGTAGTTGGAACGAACGTACCTCCTATCATACTTTCCCTGATCTTTTTCTGATCACCATAACATCATGGCGGGAACCGGACTTCAACCATTGAACATTTTCCTTATAGTTTTCCCTTTTGTTGTGTCTGCCACTATCGTGGCTATCAGGACATGGAAGAAGATCAAGGAGCGCCAGTTGGCTATTGGTATGGCACCGTTCCGCATGAGTCAAGTGAAGTAACTGCTAACCAAACCTATTTCAGAGGACGTACTTCTTATTATTGCTGAGTGCTTTTTGCTAGCCCTCACTGGAACACTATGGAAACGTAAGCGCTGATCCGGGTGACGGTTTTCTTTGACTGACATTTCCTAGTGGTTGTGGTCTCTTATGCTGGCTACCACCGAGAAGACATCCCCAAAGATGCTATGAATAAGGAACAAATTGCCCTCGTAAGTCCGACTACTCTCAAACAGTGGGGTAGCTACGTGTTGTACTAACAATCACGTTACCAGTGGCGCTACATTAACAACGCGACATACAACCAAATCCTTGGTCTCGTCAAAATCTCGTTCCTAATCACGTTGCTAAAGCTACGCTCAACGAATCGGCTCATTATCGCAAGCATATGGACTCTGATTGCCGTGAACATAGCCTTCATTTTCGCCGCCTTTCTTGCACACATCTTCCGATGCCAGCCCATCAACAAGTACTGGCAGGATGTTCCTGGTCATTGCCATAACAACACACAATACATCTTCGGTGTGATCGCCGTCACCATTGCCACGGATGTTCTTGTGGCATTGATTCCAGCATGGATACTCTACGATATCCGTATGCCTTCGAAGGTCAAATTAGAAGTCATTGTATTTCTCTCTCTCCCAATTGCAGTTACGGCAATCGGCTGCTATCGACTACATCGCTTCGTCCTCGTCTTCAGCTTGCCTAAAGGCACACTCGAGGACCCTTACAACGTGAGGAACGCACTTACAAGCGTTGAGGGTAATCTTGGTGTGATCGCTGCTTGCGGGCCCACTATCAAATGGATCTTGGTGAGTTACAACGGGTACCCCTGCACGTAATTATTGCTAATCTCTCCAACCAAAGGGTCGCTTTATACCCTATTTCGATACAGAGCGTTCCGAGGGAGCTTACATACCGAAAACGCCGAGATTGTCAACGCTTCCACAACTACAATCGCACGGCTATGTCAGAAGTCACGAAGACGTAGAGCTCCAACCCCATGGCATCGACGGCACATATCCGCGTGACGTCCGGAATCCATGTTGGAGAGCTGATAGCGATGCGGATAGTGAAAAGCAGTGTATTTCGGATCCAGCATGCAAAGATGGCAAAGACATCACGAGGACAACAGTGGTAGAATGGGAAAATTCGCCGTCGCGCTAAGTGAAGCATCGTCTTCCCAGTCGTTCATGACGAGGCAGATGACGTATAAGAGTAGTGACGTGTTGTTCAGCATGGGGGGCTATGTTTAAATTGCACATGATAGCTAAGCCTGATCTTATCCAAAATACCTTGACCTTCGGAATCACAGAGACTCCCAAGACACCTTGCCCTTTCCAGTCTCCTTCGAAACTTCAAGTCTCCACACCTATCACAATGAAACCTGAACTTTTCACTGCCGCTACCATGCGCGAGAAAGGAGCTATTATTCTTATATGACCACCTCTTCTATGCAGCTTGTTTCACTCCGTAGGATCAACAATGCGCAGTGAGACTCGCAAATCGGAGGCGGCGCATGTGATGGTCATTGGGAAAGAAGCTGAAACGGGAGCTGGCGTGGGCGCAGGCTCAAAACATTGGTCTTGTTCGTCCTTTACATGCAGTAAGTGAATGAAAGCGTACTTACATTGTTCGTTACTTCCTCCTTAGTCTCCTTGGTTGGCCAAAGACGACGGCTAGTGTTCTGTCGCTGGAGCGAAGGTCTTCTCTATTATGTCTAGGTGGAGCTTCCCGCTTACTGTTAAGCTTAATTAATCACCCCTACACGCTGGGCAACGTCGAAACTCTGAGAAGCAAGAGAAAGCAAAGTTTGCGAATCTGTGCGCTGTACCTTGTTAGTTGCAGAATGTGTCCCAAAGCACTTAACTACTGAATGCTGACTTTGTAGTCGTCGAACTACTGCTCGAGCACAGCTACAGCTACCTCAAAAGCTGTGTTGTCCTTGATGGAAGGCATGAGTCTACCAAGCGCTATCTGAGCAACCTAAGCCGCTCATCTAGTCCGCTAAGCGCATCTGCTTTCATCAGTTCGAATGAACAGATCCGCACCGGAGAGTATTGTTTTACAAATTGTGTCTTGTTCTGCTTTCTTTTTTGGCTTGGGTGGAAGAACGTCGCTGTCCTTCAGGAATGCGTCAAGCTCGTTCACTTTCTCGACTACGAGCGCCTTTGTCTTCGACCCTTTGTCATGACCTTCTTGCCTTTGACCCTTGGACGAGCGATGAGGCGGTCTTGCTGATTGAAACTACAATGGCGATCATGTGTTTGATCTCAGAGCGAACGTCTGGGTTTTTGACCTTGTCGAGAGGGCTTCAGTATGGAGGTGGGTGCGGCGAAGGGGATTTTAGCATAATGAACGATACCTTGGATTGGAGAAGGATGGCATCTTGCTCGTTCGTGTAGAAATATTAGTGTGGGGAATGCGTGCTGATTAGTGCACGCTGTCTGTCAAGTTGCAGTATGGTAGTAGCAGAATATACTTTGACGGGACTGATAGAACTAGAAAAACACGAACATTAGCTTGCAGAACGTCGACTAGAGCTACGGTAAGTGCGGAATCTCCAAAGGTGAAGATAAAAGCGGACACAATTGTGTTAATGTTCAACAATAGCATCCAATTGGAAACTAGAATTACGCAGATCTGGAAAATACAGGAAAGTCGTCGAGACGGCAGATTCGACGGATGGTGAACCAAGGAGCTGAAGATCTAATGGGTTGAAGTTCACGGTCAGGATTGACATGAGTCACATCATGTTGATTCTACTATAGCAGCAAGGCGCAGCCTGCCTACGGGACCTCGAGTTTATTCTCACGCGTACAATGCTATGTATGTGCAAATAGTCATCTCAGACCCTGTTACAACTCCTCTTTGTCAACGCCGTCAATGGAGACCAACTCGGACTCGAAGACTGTCATACGTCAGTCAATGTATTCGCCGTGTGTCCCAATAGCACTTACTCAAGACGCTGTTGGCGGGGATGGGGCCAGCACCCCGCGAGCCATAGGCCCACTCAGGCTGGATTGTGAGCTTCCTCTTTTCGCCGGGGCACATGTCTAGCAGGCCCTGGTCCCATCCCTTGATGACTTGACCGGTACCGACGGCGAAGGACAAGGGCTGGCCGCGGTTGTATGAGGCGTCGAATTCGCTGCCGTCGCTTTCGAGGGTGCCGCGGTAGTGGACGTTGACCTTGTCGCCGGCCTTGGTCTTGCGCACGCAGTTGGCTTCGGTGAGGACTTCGGTCTTGAGATGCTGTACAAGGCGTTAGCACGCCATGCATGCCGTATAGCTTCGCGGGGTGTTACTTGCCTCGTTGTTGACAATCTCGCCAGCGAGAGCGGCCGTAGCCAAGGCGAGGATGAGGGTGAGCTTCATGCTGACGTCTATGTATAGTGAATTTGCTTTTCGGACACTCCACGGATGTCTATGAAGCAACCTTGGAAGGCGACGTTGCAATGGCGGCGGGTGGAGTGTCTATGTGGGGATACATGTGGCGCCAAGCGGTAATGTGGCCCAAACCATATGCAGGGACCTTGGGGACGTCATTGGATGTCGCTAGCGTCATTTTACAGCATCGAAAAGACCACGGACCCAATACCTACTTCTCTGTCTTTCGCGCTCAAGCCAGAGGGGTCTTTTCGCGACGGACCTTTGGTTGTGTACATTGAAGGGGGGGTGGGGGGGGGGGAGATATTCGGTAACGGTGGTTGACCCAATACCTACTATCTCATCGCTCGGGAGCCGCAGTACTATGACAACGACTGTTGTGAGTAATAATATCAATATGTCTGATGAGTAATAGGGGACTGGTTTCACTCTTAAAGAACCAGGTGTTACTAATAACCATAGAGCCATCAGTGGTAACCTCAGAACAGCGACGCCACCCCTCTTCCAAATGATAAGAACACGAATTGAAGAAATCATGACCACACATCCTCCCGATCGAAACCAACTCCCTCTTCCCCAAGACTCTTTACCAAGAACAGAAGGCACGATCAATAGTAAACCCCTTTTTGCAACCCAATCATACCCTCCTCCCTCCCATCCATCGCCACACTCTTGATACCGAAATCCTCGACTGCCAAATCCGCAGCATCCAACTCCGCGAGAACTCCAGCCTCTTCCACCTCTTTCCTGCTTCCGCCAGAGCTGCCCTGCTCAATACACTTAAAGCTTCCGAACTTGGGCATGCCGATTGCGATACCGGGGAACGTCAGCTTCTGAAGAATGTCGCCTGTACACGAAAAGTTCTGGTAGAGGGCGCACGTAGAGCCTTGATCAGGTCCGAGTGATGCGATACCGCCAGGGCTGCCTTGGATGTGGCATTCCGTGTTGGGTTGCGTCCAGCTGCATTCGCCGGCGAAGTTGGATTTGGTGCAGGTGTAGTAGGCACCAGGAAGACCGCGCCGGGAAAGAAGATGTGTTGGTAAGGCTGAGATGGTGGTTGTAGTGGTGGCAATGGTGAGTAAGAGGGCTATGAGCGCGATAGCTGTATACATTGCCGGGTTCGTTGGACCGGACGACGATTAGGAATTAGCTTTGGGCTATGCCTGTGTGTATGGCGTAGTGCGCGTATGTGTGTAATTTGTCTTTGGGGAACACTTGACTCGGTGTTTCAAATGTTCTTATGACAGCCGTGGGGTGTATTTGTGACTGAGCCTTATCGTCTTGTGAGCCACCGAGCCTCATGATTGTCTGCGCGCGTCGTACGGACGTAGATTATACGGTCACGGGTTTGCGTACCTATTGCACAAACGGACAGGTTGGTGCATCAAGCACAAAGTCTGGAGTTTGTCTCTTTGTCACGGACAGCAAACATCTACAAGGAGATGTAGAGATGTATTGGCGTGACTCCATGGCGATGACAACGCCACGAAAGCTTTCAATAGGCCATACGAAGAAACCAAAAGACGTATAGAGAGGGGAAGAAGAATTGCAAGAGTGCCAAAATATCCAAAGACTAGAGATGTGAGAAGGTGATATGTGCTACAAGGTGCATCGGATGCGCTCCGCAACGATGGCGCGACATGGGTGGGTTGCTGCTTTGAAACGTCCTTCAGCGGGGCTGATGATGAGATGCAACCAAAAGGGTCGCAGTACTCGCAAGCCCATGCCACGAATCGTCTTACAGCCGCGAACTCGCTGGGGGACGCGGGTGGCATGCATCTGGGCTGTGTCATCAACGTGTCGCCGCCAAGCTGTCGCCGGTGCCGCCAATACGCACTTTTGGCTTGACAGGTATGACTGGGTTTGGTTGGTTATGATCGTCAGGTACGAAGCTGCGAGACGTCTGCAGGATGCCGCTATAGTGGACAGCGATCTTACACGTCGCATGGGTCGTGCATTTACAAAAGTGCTGCTCTTCGCGTCGGGTTGTAAAGTTTGTGTCGTTTTGGTCGTACCTAGGTACCTAGGTAGGCAGGTGTGCATGATAGAGGCGCGACGGTGACGCGCCGGCAATAGGTATGCACATGCCATGCCATGCCACGCCAACATCGAACTCACATGCCATGCTTTGGACTTGAAAAGCAAAGAAAAGGGTCCATTACAATCTCACTCCTCCTATCTTGCGCAGGGGCTGTTGGGTACAGAAGATAGATTGCGCGGTCAAAGGATAGGTAAGTCGGCCGCAATTTGCTTGCTTATGCCAGCGTCATCTTACACTCGGCAATAGAAGAACGTTATCTTCACATGAGTCTAACGAGCCATCACAGTAAACTTAATACAGGTGTACATCAAAGGGCGAAGGCATCCTCGGACCCTACAGGTCAGTGGCTATCGCAAGCCCGACATGCAACCCACCACCATTTCCACCCTTCCACATCTACCAAACGGCCCGACA